TATTGAAGTGGACGGCACACCACGTCCCAATTGACTTTTGCACTAGTAATCTTGTCCGAGCCACACGAAAGAAAGGTGTAATCACGAACTTGAGTAAAGCCGTGCAGGCAATGGTGCTGATGTTTTGGCCCTACCAAGTGACAAGTTTTTCGATCATCTTATCTTTAATGAATTGGAAGTACATCTTCTTCAGTTGCCAGACCGAGAGAGATAGGCCTAAATATCGAATGGGAAAAGAAGTTCTAGCTTTCGGCAAGCTTCGAAGGATGCAACAACGGCGAGTTCCATCTTCCAGGTCACAAGTCACTGGAACAAGGCCCATTCTTGCTTCTATACATGTGCCGTCATCTTTTATCCACACTAGAGTAGCACACATCAACAGGTGTTTTAACGTCAAAGCACATCATCAAGCTAAGTTAGCGATCGAAATTAAAAATAGGCCTCTAGCTTTTCGTTGTCTCTCTTCAGATGCAAGACCTCGTATCGCGAGAGATGCCCTCGCAATGTCAAGTGTGAGACCTTTCACACTACTCTAAAATGTTGCTAACGGAATAAAAATTTTTGTTGTTCAAAAAAAAAAGGAGGAGGATGTAACCCAAATGAAGTGGTTGCAGCGGATGGGCATCCGGAAAGATGGCGATACACTGCTTTCCGGTGGCTCTACCATATCGACGGTCACAAAGCCAACATGAGATTCACGTGCTGAAGAAAGGGAATCCAAAAGTTCTGAAGCAGAATGAGCCACACCCAACCGACGGCGGCAGTTTCCAAAAGGAAATCCCTTACCTTATCCGGTATAAGCAGACGTACGGACAGCAAGCCGTGTGAGGGCAGCAATGGCTTCCATCGCCTTCTCCTCCCTGCTGCTCCTCCTGCTCCTCTCCGCCGCCCATGGCGCAGCGGCAGCCGGCTTCACGAGGAGCGACTTCCCGCGGGAGTTCGTATTCGGAGCCGCCACCTCCGCGTACCAGCCTACCAGGCATGCAACGATCGTGAACCCCTGCAGTCTAGTCTGCTCCCGTATTGGGCTGGTATTCTGTTGCCAATCTTAGCTGGGGTTCTACTTGTACTACTATTTGGCTTGCAGTACGAGGGCGCCGTGGCTGAGGACGGCAGGAGCCCAAGCATCTGGGACACCTTCACTCACGCTGGTAACTAACCAATTAACCTGTCAGTTCCGTGCTGATTTGTCAAGAGCTGGACGCTGGTCGATGTTGATCAGGAGCTAAATGCCTGTAGAGTCCTATGCTCTTCTCCTTTTTTTTTGCGGAATTATGTTCTTGTTTACGACGGCAGGGAAAATGGCGGATAAAAGCACAGGTGATGTCGCTGCCGACGGGTACCACAAGTACAAGGTATGGCACAAGCTTCTAAATGTTAGAATAAATTCGAGGCCACCATTGATTTACCGAGGATCAAGCAATCACACAAGTACGACACCGAGATTTGTTAACGAGGTTCACCATCATGGCTACATACCGGGCCTGACTACGGGCGCTCCTCTCCGTGACACCGTCACAATACCGCACCTCGGCCGCCCGGGCGCCGGCATACGTCGCCGGCTCTCCCGCGTGCCCGTGCTATTATGTTGGCACAGGTTACATCGTGTGTCTACCCCCTCTATATATGAGAGGTCTAGGATACAAGTGTCCTACTTGGACACGACTCCTACTCTGTCTACACACCGTACGACTCCAAATCCAACTGTAACCTAACTTGTACAATAATATTCGACACAACTCTAGCAAACTCCACCTTGGCGAATATTCTCCACCATCTTGAATTCGTCCGTGCGTCAAACCTCCATGTACATTGGACTTGAAATACACCATGAGCACCGCTGCTACTCCCAGACTCCATGTGACTCCACCTGCAACTGTAGTCCCTTCTCGTCTTTTTCACAGTCAATACTTGAGCAAAATTAACTTCCTCATTACTCTACATTGTACTCCCAACTTTCGGAGAATCCGTTCAACGTCATCACACACCGATCATTAACCTGCGTGAAAGTGAACAACTCACATATTGGACGCCACACATAAGAGTTACCTGAACTCAACATCACCGCTCTTTCTTGACCGCTTGTCTGAAACTTGAAGGAACTGCACCGTCGCCCTGTGTCACCTTGAGTCAAATTCACAGTTGTCTCACCCTTTTCCCCGGATAGTCTCTGACATGTCCCATAGCTATAGCACTCCACCTCCTTCTGTACTTGTCACCCGCACTTTGTCATGTGCACCGAACACCACAGAATATACGGCCATGTACTCTCTCTGTTTTTGACAATTTCAGACTTTCCGTCACTTTCACAGATTCTCCATGGTCAACTCATGTCCATCTTCCGGTACCGATAGACCCAGTCACCAACTTGAATCTGGTACTCGTCAACACTGCTTCAGCACCCTTTGCACAATTTTGTCTGACCCCATGTCTACCATTAGTGCCATGGTCTGTCGCTGTGTCCCGTGCTTACCGCACGCCTCGCCGCTATTACCGCATCGAGCCTCTACTGTCCTGGTCGAGTCTCCCGGGTAGCTAGCCCCCACTGCCTCAACCCCCACTACAGAGAACCACCGATCATCACCGACCGATGTCGAGTATCACGTCTCCATCAAACCATTGGGCCCCAGTCCGATCCACATGTCTCTCGCTATCCCGCTGAAATAGGCTTCGATTCTCTGATATCTTACACCGTAGCCCCTCCACCAGCACAGAGTGAAGTCTTTTGCCAGACTCCAGCTCCACCTTCAACATGACTCCATGATAGATGATCAGTCCACCCTCACGCCCCGTTGACTTCAAGCTCCGTGTGTACACCACCTTGAATCAACCCTGCGTAATAGTCTCGTCGAAGCCGCACAAGCCCCCAGGCTTGCACCACATGTTTCCACGCCCCAGAAGCCAGCCACCATCAGCATCACGCTCCTATGTCTCGCTGAAATCACCGCCGTCTTCTGCTTTGACCAACATCCCTGTCGGTCCATCAGACTATCCAGTCCGACCCAGCCGAAATTATCCGACTGCAACCATGCTCCACCCCGCGTCGTGTCCGCCCGCACATCTGTGCATTGCCTTGACGCCCTGTGTACACTGGCGGAGCTACATGTAATGAAAATGGGCTATGGCCCGCCCATTCCAAAGCTAATACAGTGTAGGATTAAAGTAAACTGAGCCACGAGAAAAAAATATAGTGATCTTCCTTCATATTGGCCCGCCCAGCTTTGGTTGGGTAGCTCCGCCACTGCCTGTGTATGCATGATCCTGCCACGACACACTCCAGACTCCTCCGAGCCTTATACGCTTGTCGCCGTCTTCGGTTCCCTTTTGACTTAGCTGAACAACATCACTACTGCCATGCCGTCTCCAATCCATGTACAAAGCAAAGAATCCCAAGAAGTAGTCCCTCGTAGCCTTGTGCCGTGTAACAACTAACTCAAACTCTCAGCTCAACAGTAAACAATACACGTGCTTGACCACCTTTGCAATCTTCCTTGTTCTTTCCTTTCTCATGATCTAAACTCGATATGGGCAGCTATTTTCATGTTCTGACACACTGCAAAGCCTTCTGGAACCAGACTTTTTTTTCCTTAAACAAATCTCTTCACGTAGCTTCACGTTCCTGTGTTCTCACGTACCTCCAACCTGCACTGAAACAAGCCCTGTAGCTCTCCACGGATTCATGTGTGCTCCGCTGCGCATCGATCCATTGCCCGCCGCCTAGCGCACCACGTCCAGACTCGGCGTTCCGCTCAGCCGAACAGCTAGGATAGTAGCCTCCGTTGCACGCCTCACACGCCAGCCTGTAGATGCCTCGGGCCGGCCGGATGCCATCCGCCTGCGCTGCTGCTGCCTCGGCCGCTACTGGGATTGCAGCCGCCATCACACCATGGCCTTGGACTTCTCTCGCACGCTGCCCTGGTTTTGATTGGATCGAACGATCCGATTTGACCTGCTGCTTCCGCTATACGCCGCGCCGCCGCTGAGAACTCCGCCTGCTTCCAAACTCGTCGAGATGTCAAACCCAAGGACGCTGCCTGCCATACACGAGTTCGCCGCCGCCTTTGATCTGAGGCTCGATCTCGCTGATGCCGCCTGCTGCCACATACGCTGTCTCGCTTGATTCAATTGCTTCCCAAGTACCGATGTATCCCGGTCGATCGCTCGTCTGCACACGCCTCCTCAACGACTTACCACGCAAACACCATCAACCACAACACCTGTTCTTCTTCCTCTAGATCAACTGTCTGAAGCCTTCTCAAAACTTGCTCATGATACTACTTGTTAGAATAAATTCGAGGCCGCCATTGATCTACCGAGGACCAAGCAGTCACACAAGCCAGTCACACAAGCCAGTCACACAAGCACGACACCGAGATTTGTTAACGAGGTTCACCATCATGGCTACATCCCGGGGCCTGACTACGGGCGCTCCTCCCCGTGACACCGTTACAATACCGCACCCCGGCCGCCCGGGCGCCGGCACACGCCGCCGGCTCCCCCGCGTGCCCGTGCTATTATGTTGACATAGGTTACATCATGTGTCTACCCCTGCTATATATGAGAGGCCTAAGATACAAGTGTCCTACTTGGACACGACTCCTACTCTGTCTACACACCGTACGACTCCAAGTCCAACTGTAACCTAACTTGTACAATAATATTTGACACAACTCTAACACTAAATCTGGCTGTTTTTTGAGGGTCCGCAACCGCAAGGCCGATCAGGAGTTGCACCTTCATATTTGCTTCACACTCTCTTTGCAATCTTGCGTATTTGTGAAAAAAGATTAGCCTTGTTATCTACCATTTTTCCTTTCTGGTGCAGAATTGAAGTTTTGTTTCATCCCATGTTTCAGGATGATGTGAATCTCATGGCTGACACGAACCTAGAGGCTTATAGATTATCATGATCTATAACTTTTCATAGATTATCATGTGAATCTCATGGCTGACACAAACAATCTACCTTTACTTTATCATGATCTATATTCATCTAGGCCATGCAAAAGGGGATTATTGGCCTAAATATTGACTCGCGTTGGCCTTATCCTTTGACGAACTCTACTGTGGATTTAGAAGCAACGAAAAGATGTATGGACTTCAAGTTTGGCTGGTATGTTACTTTTACTCTACCTTAGCTTCAGAAATGCAGAACTAACCAACTTGTGGTTCCTTTTAGGATACTAGAGCCCCTTACGTCCGGAGATTATCCAGAAACAATGAAGAAAATTGTTGGTTCTCGTCTTCCATCCTTCACAAGAATCCAGTCTGAAGCTATAATTGGTACTGCAGACTTCATCGGGATAAATTACTACTATTCCATCTATGTGAGCAATTGCCCTTCAGACAAAGGCGTGCGCAACTATACTGCAGACATGTCAATTAGCTCCAAAAGTAAGCATCATTGCTTTACTGTTCACAAATACTCCTATATAGCAGCAGTTGTGGGCAATGTCATCTACTTATCTGCTGACAACAGAAAGTTCACACTGCTAACATATAAACTGACTAGACAATTCATTACGCTTCTGAAAAAGATTTACAACTCTGAGATTTGTGATCCAAAGGGCACATCTAAAAATATACATGTTTCTTTGATGCAGCTTCTAAAACAGACCCACCAGCTGGAAAGGTAAACTTTTTCATCAATGTGATTGTCAGATACAAAGACTGGGTTAAGCTATTCTCTAGATGAAATATCAAAGAGCTAGAATTCTAAGCTAACACGACATATTAGAAATTAATGAAATGCGCAAAGGTCGCATTGTTGAGCAAGATGCTGGGATTGGTCTATCTTCCAAGTTTTGACATACAGAATAACTTCTGAATGCAGGCTCCCGCGACGTCCTTTCCAAGTGACCCCGAAGGATTGCAGCATGTGCTACTGTACTTGAAAGAAGCATGGGGAGACATTCCCATTTATATCCAAGAGAACGGCAAGTTGATCTGGTTCCTCATTACAATGTTCCCAAAAAAGCAAAAAAATAGTTCAAACATCCTTGGAAAAACCACGTCCATGTTTACCGGCATCATTATTAATAGTTACAGTTCGTACATATTTGACGATATGTTTTGCCCGCTCTCCTTTCTCTCTTCAGGCCATGCATCTTTTTTTTTGAACCGGGCATTACCCCTTTCCATTACTGCAACATAACGGAAATACAGCAGTCCACAAAAAGGAGAAAAGGGGAAGCGAGTCCAACGCATCGCCGGGAAACCCACTGTGAGCACTCGCCATCGAGATTACTCACCGCGGGGCGAAAATCCGACGACACCTAAACACAGTAGCTAGCATCCAAGGCCTAAAGCCCCAAAAGAACACAAGACATAAAGCTCGCACTCAGCAGAGCAACAAAGTTCAAAACCACGTAAAGGGGGAAGTAACTCAGAACAACTTTTCGAGCCATGGAGCAGCATCTCCAGCAGATCAACACGCCGCCTCATCTTGGTTTGCCGCGCAGATTCTCATCATCATCGACGCGTTTTCTTTCAGCATCTCTGCCCCGCCCCTCATGGTAGCCGCTTCATCTTGCTTCATCAGTCCTGCCCAGTAGCACATTAAGGCACAAGTAGAAAAAATACATTCAAACGGGTTTGTAAGTGGTTTAAATTCAAAGGTAGCTCTATTGCGACAGGACCAGATCGCCCAGCATACAGCAGCAATCCCTGTTGTATAAAATTTTTCCCCACCAGGGAAGAACGCATAGCACCATGCATAAGCTTGCCAAATGTTGTCGGGGCACAAGGGAGTGCCAAACATGCATGCCACCGTCCTCCAGGTCACCCTGGCAACATGACATGTAAAGAACAGGTGTTGAGCAGTTTCTCGCCCAACACAAAAGGAACATTTAGGATTTCCTTTCCACCCTCGATGTTTCATCACTTCTCTCGTTAGGACAGCGTCCTGAAACAGCTGCCATAAGAATATTTGTATCTTCAAAGGTATTCTGGCATTCCAGATCCATCTAAAGTCACACCCAGCAATGTTCCTCTCCAAGAAAGAGTAAACTGATTTAGTAGTAAAGGAGGATTTCCCTCCCAGGCCCCATCTAATCACATCGGATGCCTCTGAAACACAGGCTTCTCTAGCCATTTCACTCACACTCATCCATTGATCACTGAGTTCATTACTCAATCTCCTTCTAAAGAAAGAGGAGGGATCAGCATTTTAAGCACTGAGCCACTGTGCACTCAGGGAAATTACAGATGGAGAATAAGCGAGGAAATTGATCCGCCAGAGGTGTGTTGTTCCCAATGGGGTCAATCCACACCCTAGCAACATCCCCAGATTGTATAATCACTCTTCTCCCGGCCATGTAAAGATATTTCACCTTCATAATGGCCTTCCAGCATGGAGAATCATTGCTTTTCATTTTAATACTAGCCACTGTGGCCCTCTTAAAATACTTGGCTTTCACAATATCTTGCCAAAGGCTAGATTTAGTTTCTAGTTTCCACCACCATTTAGTAAGTAAACTGAGGTTCTGTTTGTGTAAATCTTTTACACCCAGCCCTCCTTTATTCTTAGATCTGCATATTCTAGTCCATTTGACAAGATAATATCGCTTTTTATTCTGGGTCACGTGCCAGAAAAATCTCCTTCTACACTTGTCAATCCTAGCAAGTATAGTTTTGGAGAGAAGAAACATGGCCATATAATAAAACGCAATGCTAGAAATGTTAGCATTTAGCAGTGTCAGGCATCCTCCGGATGAGGCATTCCCCCCCAATCCAGAGTCACACTTTTGAATGTATCTGGATTCCAGAAAATCCCAGTCAGCAACTCGCAAGGATGAAAAGGTCACTGGCACTCCCAGATATTTCATGGGAAAGTGCCCTATTTGGCAATCAAACATTTCAGCATATGTTTTAAGAATATCATCATCCCCCCCACACATAGAATTTCACTTTTTTGGAAATTGATCTTGAGCCCAGACATGAGCTCAAAGATGTACAGCAACAATTTCATATTTACTGCCTTATCTAGGTCATGATCAATACACAAGACCGTATCATCTGCATATTGCAGAATGGCCACACTATTTTCAATAAGATCTGGTGCCAGCCCAGTAATTAGATTGTTTTTTGCGCTAATAACACCATCTTAGATAAGCACTCAACCGCTATGTTGAAGAGGAATGGCGACACAGGGTCTCCTTGTCTGACCCCCTTAAAACTTTTGAAATAAGGTCCCATGACATTATTCAACTTAACACTGACAGTGCCACCAGTCAGGACACTTTTGATCCACTTACACCAAGTGGTACCGAACCCTCTCATCTCCAGACATTCCAACAGAAAATCCCAATTCACTTTGTCATATGCTTTCTCGAAATCGAGCTTAAGAACAATGCCTACTCTTTTTTGATGGAAGTGTGATGTAAAATCTCATGCAAAGACAACACCCCATCCATGATATTTCTATGTTTAATAAATGCATTCTGATGTCTGCTGAATAACTTGTCAGCAAAAGGTACTACTCTGTTATCAAGCACCTTAGTAATCAATTTGTAAGGACATCTCAATAAACAGATGGGTCTAAACTGCTGGATTTTGTTGGCCCCATTGACTTTTGGCAACAAAGTTATGATGCCATAGTTCAGTCTACTAACGTCGAGCTCTCCTGCATGGAAGGCAGTGAACATCTTCATTATGTCCTCTTTAACTATATCCCAACAATGCTGGTAGAATTCAGCAGGTATATTATCCGGGCCCGGAGCCCTGTTGCTTTTCATGGAAAATAAGGCCTCTCTCACTTCCTCTTCCGTAAAAGGCCTGTTAAGATTATCATTATCTAGCTCATTAAGCTTCTCCTCCACTCCCCAACTATCAGGGTCAAGATGAAACATATTCCCCTGAGCTGGCCCAAAAAGACTTATAAAAGTCAGTAGCATGTTCCAGGAGCTTCTCAGTTCCTTCGATCACCGTATCCCCAACATTAAGAGAATGAATAGTATTTTTTCGTTTATTTCCGTTGGCTATTTTTTGATAATAAGCCGTGTTTCGGTCCCCCCCCAAGCAACCATCTCTCTTTAGACTGTTGCAACAAAAAAAGCTCCTCATTAATAAGTATTTCATTCAACTCCACTAGGAGGTCCGTCTTCCTACCAAACATTTCATGGTCAATATTACCATCTTCTTCTAGTTTTTCAATAAACGCAAGTTCATCTCTAATCTCCTGTTTCCTTTTCTTCTCATGACCAAATTTGTTTGATCCCCAACCTTTGAAGAATTTCTTAAATCTTTTCAATTTGATATTCAAAATATCAATAGGATCGATAGCATTCACTTTTTGGTTCCAAATCCTGTTAACTAGAGGAACAAACTCCTCAGACTTTAACCAACTCAGTTCGAATCTAAACTCTCTTTTTTGTGGAGCTCTAATAACATGATTATCAGAGTACAAAAGGAGAGCATTGTGGTCAGAGACCTCCCTAACGAGTTTCTTCATGTTAACAAAAGGAAACATGGCTTCCCAATCGTTGCTCATAAGCACACGATCCAGTTTCTCTAAGGTGGGGTGTGCTTGATTATTAGACCAAGTGTAGGTTCCTCCACTCATATGAATCTCATTCAAACACATAGTGTTGATGATTGAGTTAAACAGATCAGAATGCACCGAGCGGTGCCATCTTTTATTCTTCTCCCCACTATGCCTAAGAATATTGAAGTCACCTCCAATCAACAAGGGGGTTTGAATGTGGCAGCAAAAATCTGCCAGTTCACCAAGGAAATCACTCTTGTCACACTCATGAGCCGCTTCATACACTGTACACATTGTCCAAATTTTCTTCATAACAATATCATAAAGAGATACCTGCAGAATAAATCTGCCTTTCCTCCAAGCAACTACTTCAAACTTTTCTTTTTTGACACCACACAGGATGCCCCCAGCCTTACCAATTGATGGGATCCAATCCCACTCAAACAAACTATAAGGATCAAGTTTCCTGAAATAACTCTCCAGGAAATCCTTTTTTAACGTTTCTTGCAAACAAATAAAATCAAGGGAATGGTCTCTGATTATATGGGATAGGCAGGTTTTCATCCCTTTTTTTCCTGCCCCCTGCAATTCCAAAATAGACCTATCATTTATATCTTTTTCCCTTTCTCCCCCCTCTGGTGGCCCTGGTATTATGAACAGGGCTGCCAGCTTGTTTTTTCTCAACAAGGTGCTTTTGACTTCTCGTAGTGGGTCTGAAAACAACTATTTGAACTTTAGGACTCTTATTTTTCCTAGACCGGACCATGGTAAATTGTTCTTCCATGCCCTCTTCTCCATCCCCCCACTCAGTACTAACAGGAGTTGCTTCCCCTTTTCCATTGGTGACATATATCACCTCTTCTTCATCCCTCATATTATTAATTTCTTCCTCTCTTTTAGAGTTTTCCCCCCTTATTTTTTCAAGTTCTCTAATGATATCCACATTAGAGAAATTATTATCAGGGAAAATTACCCCCATCTTAACAGCACGAATCATGAGCTCAGGATTAGATAAAGCATCAAAAGAGTTATGATTTGCTAAGTTGCCTTCCAGGTTTCTCTTTTTGGAAATGGCCACAGCCTTCTCTTGCATTCTTCCTTCCATATTCTGCAAGTTCCTCAGGCTAAATCTCTTAACTTCTTCAGAAACAA